GTTTGTCTCCCCTCTGCGGGCTGGAAGTCTGACCGGGGTGCTGGCACACCAGCGTTCTGACTTAGGGGCTTACTTCCTGGGCATGGCTGCTCTCTTGCTGTGTCCCCACAGGGTGGAAGGAGCCAGAAAGCTGTGAAGTGGCTTTCATAAGGGCGCTAATCCCATTCGTGAGGGCTCCATCCTCACGGCCTGAGCTCCTCTCAGGGGAGTTTGGGGGGAGGGGGCCCGGTGGTCAAGCACTCAGAGCAGCACACACATGTGAGGATACCACAGTCACCTAATTGAAATTCATGTTAACTTTGTACGTCTTGAGCCCACCTTTCCAAGACAGGAAAGGCAGGGTTTCTGCAGGTGACACTTCGAACACCTGGATGCAGGGAATCCTTGGCGGGAGGAGGTTTTCCCACGCATGGAATGTTCACTGTGGCCCCCTCTCGATTCCTTTTTTGTCAGATGATTTTGGATATGTTTCTTTTTTTTGTAAGGATACATTTTTTTTTTTTTAATTAGTAAATCATTTCTAGGATACTTTTAGGTTCATAGCAAAACCAGCACAAAGTAACAGGTTCCCGTGTGTCATCATCATACACATATGGCTGCCTCTGTCCCCAGCATGTCCCCCACCCAGGGGTTCTGTTACAGCTGATGGCCGGTCCCGACCCGTCGTCATCACCCGAAGTCCCCCAGCGTGCCCCGGCTTCACCCTTGCTGCCGGGCACCCTGGGCTTGAACAGCTGTGCAATGTGCCTCCGCCTCTGTGGCTTCACGCGGAGCAGTCGCACTGCCATGAGACTGCTGTGTCCACCCTCCCACGCCACCCCACTCCGGCCCACCCCCGATCTCTTTGCCGGCTCCACAATTTTGCCTCTTCCACGATGTAGGAATCCTGCTGCGCCTTAGTCTTTTGGGGCTGGTTTCTTTTCCTTACCGATGTGCGTATAAGTTTCTTCCCTGTCTTTTCATGGCTTAATGGCATCTTTCTGTCTGGACCACAGATTATCATCAGCCACCTGCTGAGACACCAGGGCTGCGTCCGGGCTTTGGCAATTGTGACCAAAACTGTGAGCATTCACGTGCAGGTTCATGTGTGGACAGAGGTTTTCAGCTCCGTTGGGTAAATACCAAGGAGTGTGACTGCTGGATCACGCGGGAGGGGCTCATTGGATTCGCGAGACACCACCGAGCTGTCTCTCAGAGTGGCTGCGCCCTTCTACGTCCCCAGGAGCCGGGCATGTGCGTTCCTGTCCTGGGTCCCTCCAGTACCCGGCACTGTCCACGCAGGCTCTGGCCACGCCCAGAGGCGCGTATAGGGATCTCGCTATACTTCATGGTTTTCTGCATAACACGGAGCTTCTTTCCGTGGGGCGACGTCCTGCATCTTTAGTGAGTTGCCTCTTGGGGTGTTTTGCCCTTTCTTAAATTGCTCGTTTTCTTATTGTTGAGTTAGTGGTATATTTTGGAGAGCGGTCCTGTAGCAGATGTGTCTTTTGCAAGTATTTTCTCTCCATCTGTGGCTTGTCTTTTCCTGATAACGACATTGATTTTATGTTGGAAATCAATGGGATTTCTCAGATGCTTTTCAGGAAGTACCTTATAAACATATTTGCCCGAATGATTCTTTCTTATCAAGGGTATTTTAAACTTGCTTAATTCAGTTTTATATCTTTTTATGTTCTTGGTCTAAAAGCTGATCATTTCCTCCTCCTCCTCGTCCTTTGACAGAGACAGAGAGAGGTAGAGAGAGAGTGCGAGAGAGCCCAAGCCTGCACACACACTTGAGCAGGGGAGGGGAGAGAGGGGGAGAGAATCGTAAGCAGGCTCTATGCAAGGCTTAATCCTGTGACTGTGTGATCATGACCTGATCCAAAATCAAGAGTCTGACGCTTTCATGGCCGAGCCACCCAGGTGCCCCAAAGCTGATCTTACTCTCTACTGCTGTTTGCTTGGTTTCCCTGGCTTTGGTGTTGTCTGTAGGTTAGTGTTCTCTGCTGTGGTCATCTGGTGAGGGAGGGAGGCAGGCTGATGGTGATGGAGAGGACCGTGCCAGTAAATATTTGACAGGGTCACTGGAGGCTAATAGTTGACGTTTTAGAAAAATGTTAGTAGTTCAGTGGATTTTCTGAGGGTGGGGATGCCTGCTTTTCAACGGTGGGTGTGCAAAGCAGACAGCTGTGGCCACAGACCAGCCGCCGTCATACATCTGCTGCTCGCCTGCAGGGCCCGGAGCGCCGCTGGCGCGCATGTGTGCCCCTGTGCATGGGGACGACATGGAAGGGGCAGGATGTGCTTGGGGTGCATTGCAAGCGTGCATTAAGTCCTGTGGCCATTTCCCCCCGATTTTGTAATCACGCTGCTTGCGATTATGCGTGGAAACTCAAAGCTGAGCTGGAGCCCCTGGCGCCTGTCAGATATCACTGTGCAGTTAACTTAGTGATGGCATCCCGCTAACAGCCGACGTTCCACATCGCCGGTTGTAGGAAGTCACGTGTTCTGGCATCAGTTACCCTTAAATTAGAAACAGGACAATAGAGGAAGTTGTTGATTGGGACAATTGTAGTTTCACTGTGTAAGTGCATCTGTAAACCAGAACCAAACTGTGTCCCCTGAGCATGCCGATGGCTCCCGGAGCACACTCCGGAGGGACACGTGTGTCCTCTGCTCTGGGAAGTGTGTCCGAGAGGTGTGTCTGCTCTTCTGAAGAGAAGACTCTGGAGTCAGAGGTCACAGCTTAACACCTCTCCATGTTTTCAGCTCCGCGGGAGGCTCTTAGGATGTGCTTTGGGGTCTGTTCCTAAGCTGCTCCAGTACAGGTCAGGTTTTTGCTTGGGCGCTTGAAATTAGGTCCTTCAGAAGGAAACATTTTAAGGGTTTTATTTTGGTTAATGCCCTGGCATTTATATAAAGTAGCTTCCTTAAGGAAAAGAGTTTGCACGCTAAACAGTGACTTCCCATACCTCACTCTGTGGGCGTAAACCTGGCTTTCTGGTTCCCGATTGCTCCCCTTGGGACCATGACACCCCTGGCACCCAGGCCCCAGGCCAGGGGCAGGGCAGCCACGTGGGAGACGATTCCATGCAGAGCCACGTACCACGCATGTCCTTGTGCCTCGCTCCCCAACGAGGCTGTGATTTAGTCTCGTTCACACCGACAGGGACCCCAAGTTCCTGGCTGAGGAGCCGATGATTGGGCTCATGCAATGCGCACGTGAGCTTTGGGACATCACCCTCTGTTACCCCAAGTTGGGAAAGGCGCCTAGTTTGGTAACGATTAGTACGTTTGTTAACCTGGTGATAGACTTTCTGTCCATTCTTGGACATTTAAAGAATTAGATTATCAAACTGTAAAAATCACCAGCCTTAATTAAACAAGAAGGGGTACATGGAGTCTTTGCAGAGCATTGGAGACCTCCTGTGTCTAGAGATAAATTAGTCAGAATGGATTGAACATGGTACATCTTCCCCGCGTGTAAATGAACAGCATCATTTACTAGCCTTCCTGTAGGCCAGCTAGCCAGCTGGGAAAGAGAAGGGAGGAGAAAATCCCGTTTACATTGGCTATAAAAAAGATAAAATCGTTAGGAAGAAACTTACCTAGAAATGTGGAAAACCTGTGGAGTGAGTATTTCAAAGTTCTCGCGAGAGGCGCCGAGGTGGTCGACGGTGGTGCGGCAGCCTACAAGGGCCCTTCTCCCGAAGCTGACCTCTGAAATCAGTGGAATCACATAAGAGTGCCAACAAAAAATAATTGTTTTTCCTGAGCTAGTCAAGCTTTTAAAGTTCACATACTTACTTAAAACAGACGTGCAAGAGTAACTAGGAAAACGCTGTGAAACGGCAGTGGGGTACTGGGCATGGGCAGACAGGCACGCTAGTCGAACAGAAGAGAAAACAGACACAGTTGCAAGTACTGATGGAAATTTGATATATGACAAAGAGGAATCTCAGACTGTTAGGGGGACTTACAAATAAATCCCCTTGTGATGATTAGATGGTCATTGGGAAGAGATAACAGTGGAGCCTTACCTCCCACCATTCGCAGGAACATGAATCCGAGACCTAAAATGTACCCACTGGTTTTCACTGGGAACTAAGCTGAGCGTGTACTTCAGCCCATGTGCGTAGCCTTACTCGGAGTCTATGGGATGTGCTGCAGATTCGGCCACTACGTCTCCCGTACACTGTGGACTCTTCACCTGTGGCTCTTGAACAGAAATACTTGCACCGGCTCTTCTGTCTTTAACTGGCTCTCCCCTCACAGGCTCGGCTGCCGTGGCCTCTGTTGGATTTAGATCCTCAGGTAGCTAAATGCTTTTATTTCTACGTGCATGATGCTTAAATTTTATTTTATTTTCTTAAAAAATTTTTTTCTTAGGTCTTTATTTTATTTTGAGAGAGACAGAATGTGAGAGGGGGAGGGGCAGAGAGAGGAGACACAGAATCTGAAGCAGCTCCAGGCTCTGAGCTGTCAGCATAGAGCCCGACACGGGGCTCAAACTCATAGACCGCGAGATCATGACCTGAGCCGAAGTCAGATGCTTAACCAACTGAGCCACCCAGGTGCCCCTTAAATCTTATTTCTGAATTATTTTGTGTCACCCCCTAAAATGCATCTAAAGCCCTGGGGCTCACAGAAAGAGTTTGGAAACGGACTCGGCCCAGGGCTGTCTTGCCGATTAGCAGCTGGGCATTGTCTTTGGGATGTCGGGCTGTAAACCGGGTTAGTCAAATCTTTGAGGAACCCGAGTGTCCACTGGCAGGAGTGGCGTTTGTCAGTTCTGCCTCCTTTCAAGCCACTTGTTGGGAAGCAGCTTGGACCCTGGGAGTTTGTGCAAACTTGCGTGGGCGTTCCCGCCTTGGCTTGAGGACGAGAACGTGGAGTGGCCACAGAGCCGTGCCACACGGTTGGAATTCGGTACTTACTGACTGCTGCTTAACGTCGACCTGACGGAAGATGCTAACGATAATTTGTCATTTCCATCAATATAGATGACAGTGAAGTTGCCCGTGTAAAATTTATTCTTGCCACTGCGCTTGCACGGCTTGCGGAAGGGAGGCCAGCTGTGTTAATGCCTAGACTCCTTGAATGACAGGTAAACCCCACACCACGCTCATGCCATTTCACGCGGGCTTCCCTCAGGCCTGACCCTGCTAGCCGGGCGTGGGGCTCCCCGAGAGCTGGTGCAGGCCGGGTGGCCTTCCAGTCTACGCAGCCCCTAGCATGTGCTGCTTGGCTGGTTAGCTGTCATTCATTCATTCATTCATGCATGCATTCATTCATTCATTCATTCTTTCTGTAATCTCACCGGCTCCTGCCGTGTGGCCAGGCACTGCGGGAGGTGTGGGCACGGACGAAACACGGGTGGTGGCGTCTTCCATGGTGTTCCTTTCTTTCCCCTGGGCCAGGGCTACGGGAGCCCCTCACACGAGGGGGTGGGGCCCATCTTCTGGGGTCGCTGAGCTGGAGATGGGTCACCAGAGCTGCCGTCTGACACGGTGCAGGGGGGCGCCGAGGCAAGCAGGGGGCTCCCTTGAGAACTGCCCGGGGATCGCGTACTCTGGCGGGCAAGCAGCTGGAGCCCTGCTCCCGGGGTCCCAGGGGCCACCTCCTGCGTGGGAGCGTGGCCGCAGCCGTCCCGCGCCTTCCTGTCCGCTCTGAGCAGCCACTGACTCGGGTCCCTAAGGAGGCAGGTTGTGGACCTTGCCACATCTGGGCCGCTGATGGATTCAAAATGTAATAACATGAGTGTCACGTTTCAGCATTTCTGGAGAGGACTTGTTCCTAGTTAATCATAATCTCAGCGCTGCTCAGCTTTGACAGAGTTGGCATTTGGGGCCGGGTCATTTGCTGTGGGGCCCTGCTGAGCGGGGTCTCTGGGCCCTACACAAGTTGTGACCACCAGCAGTGTGTCCAGACGCTGCCTGGTGTCCTCGGCTGAGAACGCTGCCTCAGAACAGCCTGCGTGCTTCCTACGGAGCGTGCCTTCTGGCCGGTGGTGGGACGGCCTCTGCGGAAACTGCCTTGTCTCCTGTGTGGCTGTTGGGATGGCTGTGGGGGGGTGGGGGGCGAAGGGACGGAGCTAAAGGGTCTCGTGTTTACAACGAAGTCAACAGGATTCATAGAAAACCGATGACTGTCATTTCTGTCCAAAAAGCCCAGGCACTTTAGGCTTTTACAAACCCGCCTGGGTATCCGTTGTTCACATAAAAATCATCTGTCTTGTTTGGTGGAATAAGGCATTTAAAGTCATTGACCCTATTTGGATCTAAGACTCACAGGTTGACAAAAAAGGTTTCTTTCCTTCATTTTCTTAGGCTGGGAGCTGCCGCCAGGTAGGGACGGGGGGCAGCGGGTGTGGGTGCTTGTTACTCTTGGGTGATTTTTTTTGTTGTTTCCAATATCCTTTTGTTTACTTTTTGTGTTAGAAGTAGTTTCATAGGGGCGCCTGGGGGGCTCAGTCGGTTAAGCAGCCAACTCCTGATGTCGGCTCAGGTCAGGATCTCACTGTTTGTGGGTTCGAGCCCTATGTCGGTCTCTGTGCTCACAGCGCACAGCCTGCTTTGGATCTTCTGTCTCTGTTTGCCCCTCTCCCACTGGCTCCCTCTCCCCCCACCTCAAATAAATAAATGTTTAAAAAAAATAAAGGAAGTAGTTTCATAATACGTTTTCTAAAAAGGTAGAGGTTAGAAACTGGTTTTAATGGAGATGTATGGTAGGGACCCTTAGAAAATTTGCAAGAAGTCTCAAGCTTGGGGATTCTCAGTGTGAAGTGCAGTGGCGTTCAGGGGCGGCGAGGGGCACACGTGCAGTCAGGACATGTGACATGATGATGAAGTGGCCGGGAAGGACTTGACCTCAAGGGAGGGCAGCCCGGCCTTGCTCAAGGCTCGGCACCTGCTGTCGCCTCTGGGGCTCCCTGACGGGGCACTAAGTGAAAGCCGCCCGTAGTTTCTCATCCCTTCTGGGGGGAAAGGGAAAAGGCACTAATTAAGATCATCTTTGGCTCTGTGAATGTTAGCTAGAAACATTTTTATTTAAACTTGTTGAAAATCTCTGGTAAGATATCAACTCACAGACATACCTTAATATAAGATGTGAACACCATTTGTGTGATTTTGGGGTCCTCTCTTTTTTAAAACTTTTTTTTAGAGAGTGAGCATACATGTGTATGCAAGCAGGGGAGGAGCAGGGGGTTGAGAGAGAGAGAGAGAGAGAGAGAGAGAAAGAGAGGGACAGAGAGACTGTCTCTCAAGCAGGCAACATGCCCAGCGTAGAGTCCAACATGGGGCTTGATCCCACAACCCCAGGATCATGACCTGAGCTGAAATCAAGTCAGCTGCTCAACTGACTGAGCCACCCAGGGGCCCCCACAGGGTCCCCTTTTTAATGCACTTCAGATTGAACAGGACCCAGTGCCTGGAGGCTGGACTCCAGCAGAGTCATGGGCAGCCCTAGTCTTGCCTCGCATTTTCCTAAAACCTTTCTAAGGGGAAGTTTCTAGTTAAATGCGAGGCAGTCGATGCTTTATTGTGTGTGTCCGTCTGGGGGAGAGAACGCATCCCGAAGCTGGGTTGTAGGGACGAGGGCCGTGCAGGGTGGGGCATGACTTCCTCACCCCTAGGAATTGTGTGGGTCAGGAGCCTGTGAGACCCTCAGTGTGATGTTCAGACGCGCGGATGCATGTACGAGTTTTCCTGGAGAGGGGCTGCAGCTTTCATTTGATTATCAAAGGGCTTTATAACCTGAAAAGGTTAAAGAGCACCGCTGTGGACGGCCCACACAGCAAGAACTCGGCTGCCTTCGGGTGGACTTTGAGTGTCCCCGCTTCAGGTGGCAAGATCCCCCATTGTTGCCGTGCCCACCCTCCCACTTTCCACTTCCCGGACCGCATCTTGGCTCGTTTTCCGGCCTCCCTCCGCCCCCCACTCCCGAGCTGTCTGCTGATGGCTCTTGCTGGCCCGAGAGCGGAAGCTGAGCTGTCTCCTCTGCCCTGGCCTCCCTCTGTTGTCCTCTCTTCGTCCTGCCCCCGGATTAGGTCCGTGCGTGTCTCTCCGGGAGCCGGGTCTGTTTTCTCTGCAGCGGACCCGGGGCAAGCCCCAGAGACCTGCGGCAGCCTCCGGTCGGGGTCTCTCGGGTGGCGAGGACCGGCCGTGGAGCACCTGGCCGGCTGGGGGTGGGGGCCACGTGGCGGCCACCCCCAACTGACTCTCTGCTGGGGCTGTTTTCCTCTTTTGCAGATCAACCAGTCACTCGATGGGGAGCAACGGCGGACCACCTTTTTGTGTCACCTTCCCTCTTCTCTGTAGCAAGAAAAGTCACTTCAGCACCTCTTCGATAATAATGATGAAACTGGTATTAACTGAATGGCAATTATGGATTTTTAACTCTAATTCACAGTAAGCCAGCAAAGCCATATGTTTCAAATCCAACCCAAAGTCATTCTGTTCTGCTGCGTGTCTCACCCGATTGTTAGAAGTGGAGAGATCTCTGTCTGCGCAAAGAGGGATATAAGCATTACTTGCCGGAGGAGCACGACTGGAGCAGAAAGAGAAGGCGTCCTAATTTATCCTTAACGATATATGATAGCATTATTTATATAGATAGAGGAAATATATATATATATATTTTTTTGGTGGTAATGAAAATGGCTCCGCAAAATGCCGACTCGGAATCTATGCAAGTTCAAGACTTGGCTGTGCCCCTGCCGGACCTGCAGAAGCCCGGAAGCACGGACGCCCACTATGAGACCATCAGCGAGGGGTCCATCGACCGGATCCCCGTGCGCCTGTGGGTGATGCACGGGGCCGTGATGTTCGGCAGGGAGTTCTGTTATGCCATGGAGACGGCGCTGGTCACGCCCATCCTGCTGCAGATTGGTAAGTGCCCTTCGCGCCTGGCATCGGTGGTGGCGGTTGGAACGCAGGAGCCGATGTCGGCGCCCGGAGCTCGTCGCAGGGGCTGGGAAGTGTCCGGAGCCCTGGGAGGCAGCATCGTGCTCTTGGCTCCCCTCAGCCCACTCTGGGTTTCCTCCTGTTTCACACCGGGGCCCGGGAGGGGTGGTCCTTGGATGCTGGACGTGGAGGTGCCCGTTTTGGCAAAGAGGTCGTTGAGCGCTTGAGTGTGTGCCGTCAGCTTTGATTCGTTCTAATCTGAGCGAGCCCATCTCGCTGTGGTGGTACCTCCTGCCTCCTAGACACGCTGGCGGCCGTGTGTGTCGTCCTGGGCAAGCCGGGGGACGTCTCTGCCTCTCACGCGGCTTCCTTCCCGAGAGAGGGGAGGTGATGGCGGGCCAAGAAGACAAGCGCCTGGAACGAGCCTTGGAACAGGCCCGGAGAACCCCGGATAACACGGTGTTCAGTTACCGCCTTGTTGATGACTTAACTGAGATTCGTGGGGACTTCAGGTGGCTGAAGCCGGGCATTTCCGGAAATCCTGGGGTCCGCACACTTCCACTCCACTGCGAAGCTAGTACGAGGAAACCACCCTGGTGTCCCTTGTGGGTTACCGCTGGGGAGCCTTAGGCCCTTGGAATTGTGTCCGCGTTTGGTTTTCCCCAATGTCTAGGGAAGAGTTCGGGGCGGGGGGGAGGGGGCAAGCTGTTAAAATCCTCGGTTTCCTTTCAGAATTCCACGTATGCATCGTACCTGCTCATTTTGGTTGTTTTAGAAACGTATCTCTCTCCAAACATAACGTTTCCCGTTCGGTGAGCGCTGGCTAGTCCCGACTCTGCCGGTCACTCAGTCAAGTGCATGAGTCCAAAGCGCCTCCTCTAGTTCCGATGGTGCCATCGTGGGAGAGCGGACCGGACCTCCTCTCCCAGCACAGCGGCGCCCGGGCTCCAGCAGCCCTGCGACACCGTGTGGTTCCTGCACATGCCCCTGCGCCCTGGCACTTAGCACATCAGCTTATTCTCTCGGTAAAGGTTACTGTCCTTCAGCACGTTTTCCTCTCTCTAATCCGTGCTTTATCTTCCATCTCTAAGAACGTCCTGAGGTCTCCCCACACCTCAGACAAGGCAAAGAGCATCTCGAGAGTGGGGACAGGAGAGCATGAGCTGTGTACGTCACTCTTGATCCGACATCTCTGCGTTTGTGTCCTGTGCGTTCCTGGGGTCCCTGCGTGCTGGGGTGCTGAGGGCCGACAGGACACCGTGTCTGTGCTCGTGTGGCCTGCCTCTGGTGGAGGTGGGGTCGTGGCCAGATACTTGACAGTGCTGGAGCGGGGTGGCTGCAGAGCCTCCCGGGGCCGCCCCGCGCTGGGCGCTGGCACGGAAGGCCTGTCGGCACGGGGCCTCCGGGTGACAGTGTGGACAGAAGCAGAGGGCACTTGGGCAGAGGGGGGCCTGGCGGGTTTATGAAACCGAAGACCGGCTTTGTGGCCAGATCTCGGGGAGTCCAGTGGCAGTTGATCAGACATTTATTTTGTGCCTTCAGTATGTGAGGACTTGGGTTTGGCCCACCGTTGAGTTCATCACAGTGGGGTGGTTGCGAGCAGAAATCGAGTGTCATCACTCCGTTTCTAGACCACCGGGAGCTCTGGATACTGAGAGCTAAGTAGTTCCGAGAGTACAGATTTGGGGGCTGTTGTTCCCAGTTTCTTGGTGGTAGATTTTGTGTGTTGTGGCTTAGAGCCCCAGCACCAGTGACTCTGGAACGTTCCACTTGACAGCCTGTGCCTCTCCATCTCTGTACAACTTAGCACATTTCATCGCTTGGGTTTGAGTACTTAATGCGCTATGTGAGGCCTGTATCAGTTTTGGATAATCTGGGGTAATAAACATGCATTTTGCTGTTTACATCACACAGATTCTGTGCACTGACAGCAGCTTTTTTTATTTTTTTTTTTTTTTTTTTTTTTTTTGTTTTTATTTATTTCTAGGAGAGAGAGAGAGAGAGAGAGAGAGAGAGAGAGACAGCGTGAGCAGGGGAGGGTCAGAGAGAGAGGGTGTCACAGACTGAAACAGGCTCCAGGTTCTGAGCTGGCAGTCAGCACAGAGCCCGACGCGGGGCTCGAACCCACGAACCGCGAGATCATGACCTAAGCGAAAGTCGGACGCTTAACCGACTAAGCCACCCAGGCGCCCCTGACAGCAGCTTTTGAAAGTTGTAGGTGTGTCTGCTGCATACAAACCTCTGGAAATGATGACTGTCCAGGGTAGGGGAGGGTGGGAGGGGCCTGTGCTGATCCCCGGCACTCCCCGGGCCCCGTTCAGGAGGCAAGGGGGGCGAGGGGATGCAGGGTTCCTGACAGGTGGAAGGAATGGTTCTTCGTGAGGTGTTTCCACTGAGGGGCAACACAGCGATCAGAGTTTTCTCTCATCCGAGGCCGAGTTTCTTAGGAAGCTGCCTGCCAGCCCCGAGGTACGGCGTGTATTCCTGGACCGTAGGCGTTAACAGTTTCTGGAGCTGGTGCCGAAACCACCGCGTTCTTCCACGCTCAGCGGATCGCTCAGCCCACATGATCCACGTTTGCAATTGTGGAACTACCACAGTGAAGGCTGGGTGTGTGTTCAGCACCCGAAGGGCCCCTGGTGCCCCCCACCCCAGCCACCCCAGCCACCCCAGCCACCCCAGCCTGCCGCTGGCCGGGCCCCGCCCTGCTGGAGCTCCGTACACGCGGGATCAGAGCACGCAGGCTGGTGCCTGTCAGTCACTGAATGGCTCTCGTGCCACCCGCACAGCTTCCTGCGGGAGTGCACCCTCCTTCCCTCCTTCCCGGGACGTCTGTCTGTCCGCTCACCCACTGACGCGCGTTTGGGTTGCTTGCCTTCGGAGGCCATCACAACCAAGGCTGCTCACACGGTCTGCAGGTCTGTGTACAGGCCTGCGTCTGGTGTCTGCCGAGCAGGCCTGGCGTGGGACCCTGGGGCCATGTGGCGGGGCAGCTGTGCTTTTGTAGGAGAAGACCCTTCCCCACGTGTGTCCTTACCTCCCTGACTGCATTCGCATTTCCCAAATGAATACTGGTGTTTAGTGTCTTGCTGGGTATTAAAAAAATTTTTTTAATGTTTTTAAATTATTTTTTGAGAGACAGGACATAAGCAGGGGAGGAGCAGAGAGAGGGAGGCACAGAATGGGAAGCAGGCTCCAGGCTCTGAGCTGTCAGCACAGAGCCCGTGCGGGTGCTTGAACCTACAAACCAGGAGATCATGGCCTGGGCCGAAGTCCGATGCCCAGCTGACTGAGTCCCCAGGCGCCCCATTGGGTATTCATTTATTCTCGTGGGTGAATTGTGTGTTCAAACTCTTGGCTGATATTTTAGTTGGGTTTTTGGTCTCATTGTGCTGTAAGAGTTCTTTATACATTATTGGTAAAAATCTTTTTCAGGCAGGTGTTTGTCAGTGTCTCACCCCAGTCTGTGGTTTCCCTTTCGTCATTGTGATGGTATCTTAAAAGCAAAAGATTTTAATTTAGATGTAGTTTGGTATATCAGTTATTTTTATTTTACTTTTTTGTTTTAACTAAGAAATCTGTGCCTGACCCAAGGTCATAATGATTTTCTCTTATGTTTTCTTCTGGATGTTTTGTAGTTTCCAGCTCTCACATTTAGGTCAGTGATCCAGTTTGAATTAATTTTCATGTATGGTAAGAGTTGAGGCCCCCCCCCCCCGACTTTGGCAAATGGAAATCCAGTTCCATCTGTGAAAAAGACTGTCCTTTCCCATTGAATTCCATGGCACCTTTGTTGACAACTGACTGACGACATCTATATGAGTCTATTTCTAGACTCTGTATCCTGTTCCAATGATCAGTTTGTCCTCAATACCACAGTGCCTTAACTACTGTGACTTTATCTTGAAATTAGGTGATCTAGGTTTTCTGACTGTATTTTACCTTTTATTTATATTTATTTATTTAAAATGTTTATTATATTTGAGAAAAAGGGAGAGTGCAAGTTGGGGAGAGGGAGAGAGCAAGGGAGACAGAGGATCCCAAGTGGGCTCTGTGCTGACAGCCCTGCGATGCAGGGCTGAGACTCACAAACCATGAGATCATGATCTGAGCTGAAGTCGGACTTAACTGACTGAGCCACCCAGGTGAGAGAGAGAGAGAGAGAGAGAGAGAGAGAGAGAGAGAGAGACTCTTAACCAGGCTCCACATTCAGCGCAGAGCCCAATGCGGGGCTCAATCCCATGACCTTGGGATCCTGACCTGAGCTGAAATCAAGAGCCCGTGCTCAACCATTTGAGCCACCTAGGCACCCCTTAATTTCAGTTTGTAATTGTAAATCACTACATATAGAGATGTAAAAATGTTTAAAGTATGTTCCGTGCCCAATGTGGGGCTTCAACTCACATCCCTGAGATCAAGAGTTGGGTGCTGTACCAACTGAGCCACCTAGCTGCCCCCCCAAAACATTAAAAAAAAAGTTTTAATGTTTTATTTATTTCTGAGAGAGAGAGAGACAGAGACATAGACAGCGTGAGCAGGGGAGGGTCAGAGAGAGAGGGAGACACAGAATCTGAAACAGGCTCTAGGCTCTGAGATAGCTGTCAGCACAGAGCCCGACACGGGGCTCAAACTCATGAACCGTGAGATCATGACCTGAGCTGAAGTCGGACGCTTAACCAACTGAGCCACCCAGGCGCCCCACCCCCAAAACATTTTTATATTGAGTTTATATCCTTAAAAAACTCACTTATTAGTTGGAGTAGCTTTTAATGTCTGTAAGGTCTGTAGTGATGTTCCTTTTTGCTTGGTGATGGTAGTTTGTATCATCTTTTTATTTGGTCACTTTTGTTAAAGATGGATCAGTTTTATATTTTCAAAAACTAAGTGTTTTATTTCATTGATTTCTCTGTTTTTTGTCTATTTCCTATTTTATTAATTTATGTTCTTTTTTTTCTTCTGTCTACTTTGGTTTTAATTTACTCTTT